TCCTTTTTTTTGCTTTGTAATCCTTGTTTGTTTTTTTGTTGATCCCTCACCCTTCCGCGACCATGTCACGCAGGACACAAGGCGCTATCGTCTTCTTGAGGCCATTGGCACAGGTGCCACGTCCAGGGTTTCGCGATGCGTGGACAGCGATGGCAATGTGCGGGCCGTGAAGCGGCTACGCGTCTGCAGGTTAAGGCAGGTTAAATGGCTGCTTGTCAAGTCGTCGCGTGTCCCATGAGATGCAAGGATTGGTCTATCCAGACTGCGCCGACAGGGCAACTTCAGGCAAATTGAGGAGCGGCTGCACCAAGAGGTTGCTTCTTGGTTGAGAAAAAAAGTTAACCGAATGCGCGCACAGAAGCTGGAACGGGTGAGGCCATCCACCTATCCTTGCAGCACCCGAGGATCGTAGGACGCCGCAGTAGTTGCTCGAGGCTTTGTGAATCTTCTGTTGAGACACACAGATGCAACGAGGACTCCTGGACGTGGTGGAGATGGAAGAGGAACCTTGGTCTCTTTAGCCGCACTCGGAGCGGTTTCCGCTTTTGCAGGAGTTGCGCCTCGTGATGGAGTATTTGGGCGGCGGCACGTTGGACCAAATCGTGGCTTGTGGGCCCCTCAATGAAGTTCAGGTGACCCTGGCCGCCAAATTTCGGAAGACAATTTCACACAAGTGCATGTGCAGATATGTGAGTGCATTTCCGCAGGCCTCCGACGTCTTCCAGCAGATTGCCGAAGGCTTGCAATACGTGCATTCCAGGCCGGGAAGGTGCCGGTACAGTCACTGATCACATCTCATTAAACCTATCTGCGCGCCTGGGCTACAGGAGGTTTCGCACAGGACCCTGAAAGTCAGAAATGCTGCTCAGCACAGCACACTTGGCCGAACTTCCAAGCCCTTGCTGAAATGTGACGGCAGGTGAGGTGGGGCCATGTGGAGCCTTTGTCAAACAGAGAGGGGCCCTTTCCAGCTTCCAGCTCACAATATCTCACATCACATTGGTTTACGCCATAAGTTCGTAAGGCACATCAAGACTGTCTGACACTCCTTCAGGGGAATGCCACGCGCAGCATCACCTTTCAAAAAGAGCGAAGCCATGCCATTTGCATCGCGTCCATGCAGTGCCCACTCAGATGTCGTCAAACTCTGCGCAGAACACCTTTCACGCAGCAATCGTAGATCCCTCGGACTTTGGGACGACGGAGACCATTGTTTCGCTGTCACTGTGGCTTGCGCTGCTTGCCTTGCAGCTGTATCATGCACAACGCATGACGAAGCCAGCATGGCCGCGCTCCTTGAAGAAGAAACCGGCTTTTCATCCCAGAAGGAAACGTCCCTCGCCCCTTTCTTGACTCAAGAAGAAACTGACCGACATGCGGCTGGCGGCCCGCCACATCCTTAATTCTTCCAAAGCAGTCTGAGGCCATCGCAAGTCAAGACTTGGGGGTACCAGCCATCGATCATTTCAGGCTAAATGACCTCCTGCATGTCCCATCAGAGGTGCTGGTGCCTCTGACTCCTGGGCGCCCAGGTAAAGGCTAACCACATGAGCACTGGTCAATATTCGCGTACTAGGCACGAAGGAGAGAGAATGCCATGAGACATAGGAATCGCGCAAACAGCCCCAGAAGCAACAGGACCCCCCCAAAAGTGATACCCCTCAATCTAAGACGTAACCGCGACTGTGTTTGAGCTGAACCCAAAAGCGATGCAGTTCTTGTATCCTACGCAAAAGTCATAGGACCCCCCAGCTCGTCTATGGGAGTTTCGGGGAACGCTCACATGGAGTTAATTCTGCAGCTGGTCTTCTTGTGTTGGTGTGTCGGCAGCTACGATCGTGAAAATTTCTACAGAGTCCTCCCTCATTGCAGGGGGTTTGCGCATGGTGATCTCAAGCCTGCCAACATCCTCCTCTTAGACTCCGAGCGCTTGGAGGCCACCAGATACACGTCCGCAGCAGCTTGCTGCCAGCTGTCCTTGAGCCTCAACAGGTCAAGCTGGCAGACTTTGGCCATTCTAAAATTGTGGATGACGCCCTCGCTATTGATATTGCTGGCACCCCCTTATACATGGCGCCAGAGCTCTTTGCAAAGGAGGTGCGCAAAAGCGTTTAGTTGCCAATCTCGTGACCTTGTTCAGTCCAGGCCGTGGATGTGCGCGCCGCAGATCTTTGGTCCCTTGGAGTGCCACTCGCCTGGACTGCGGACAAGGGTAGAGACCATAATTCCAGGTGTTGAGTGTTGAGTGGCTTGAGGATTCTCTACGAGCTTCTCACAGGGCGGTGCCCTTTCAACGGTATCTCCGGTGAGCTTCAGAACGTGCCGGCCTCGATGGGGAGTGGGATTCTGTAGGACTCGTGCTTTGTTCTGTGAATATGAAGTTCTGAAGTGGCATCCCAGTTTAGTGTTTGCTGTCCATGCTCACGTTCAGCTTGCAGTCAAGCTTGCAACATTCAACAGGTCAGATAGTGATGAGCGCAGTGGGCACTTCAGGTTTTGGCAGGTGTATGGGAGAAGATACCTTGCGCAGCCAGAGGTCTGGAAAATATTTGGATTCCAAAGATTTTGTGTTTGCACGTGCGAGTGTGCAAAGAGCATTGCAGATGTCATGAGATATACAGGTTTTGCAAAATTCTGCGGAAACAGTTTTTCTTGCGGACGGCCGCGAAGGCGCTGCCAAGCGCTGCCAAGATGTATGTGCAATGTGACTGGACCCGACATGTGTCGTCAAGCTCAGTGAACACTGGTCGGTTCTTAGTTGACCGTTCCTTTGGTGTACAGTGAATTACCAGGTGCTGCGCTCAGAGCCAAGTCTAACTGTCTAACCATAGAGGTAATGGAGGGCCCAGAAGTAGTCTCACGGAGGCGCCTGTGGCTGGAGATCCACAGACCGTCGTGTGCAAGTGTACCCAAACCTGACAGGATCCACGAAACCAAATGCAGACACGCGTCACATACGTCGTGAAGATAAGAGACGCGACGCATAGCCGAGGATATCTCACTCATATGTTTGCGAATTGTCTACTTGCAGAAGCTTGCGGATGGCAAGACATATGTCAGGAGCATACCGCCGAAACGGCTTCGCCATTTTGGCTCAAGATCTGTGGGGCGGAGTCCCTTCAAAATGTTCATGGTGATCTTTCATTCCTTTCACTCTCTTTGTGAATCGTGGCTTCCGCCTCCAGTGCTTTGCCAGCTGCTGTTGTTGTGGACGCTTCGCAGCTGGACGATACCTTGGTCACAACCGCTCCGGGTACCGACCCGATGGATGGCGTTGAGACCATCGAATCCCTTGATGGGCCATCAGACTCGGAGTGGGTGGCGATCGCGACTGACGTCCAAAACAACAAGGCGAGCGCTGAGTCTAAGGCCAGCGAGTTCCTCTCCACTGCAGAACTATGGATGTGCCGAACGTCTCCCTCGCGGACAAATTGGCGGCCATGACTCAGGCCCTGGACGCCCTGCTCAGCGGGTGAGGCACCACAAGCAAAACTGCGGGGGCTGAAGCTGCAGGTGCCATTGGCCCTGAGGCTGAAGGTCCTGGGGATGCATTGGCGCAGCCTGATGTGGATATGGAAGCGTCTACCAAGCAGAGGACACGCAGCAGGGCATGGACACCCGTGAGAAGCTCGAGCTGTCAATGATGCCCAGCCTTGGAAACAGGCTACGCATCCGGGAGAGCCTGGAACCACAAGTCAGCTACGAGGATTGCCAGGAACCCCATCCCTGTGACAGTTGGCACTTTTCACACTCGTACGTCCAAAAGCCTCAGGAGTCTAAGCAGGGTCCGACAATTTCCACGGATCGCGGACGCTTCGCGAACACAAACGCAACGATTTCTGGACCTGCCAAAAGCTCCCACGCACAGGCACACTCCCCTTCAACAGAGCAGTGGAAGATGCGACCTCAATAATAGTGACAAGAACAATCATGGCAAGAGAAGCAACCTGTGTCATCACACCGAATAGAAAAGGGAAAGAGCATTCATGAAGTCATTCTTTGTTATGCGTTTGTGGGATTTGCAGGAAAAGCCTCGTTGCATCCCCATGACCTGAAGCCTTAGCTTGCAATCAAGGCTTCTGCAGACAAGCCACTCTCGCCCAAGAGCGGGATGCCGTTTGGAGGTTGTGATCAAGACAAAGAAAAAGTCCACAAACCGCATTACTTTGCAAAACCATTTTTTCTTGTATGGGGCCACGTGCGTATCATTGGCAGCAAGACCTCAAGTGAAAACATGTTTGCCAGATGTGTCACTTACACGTCACCCTCGGCATCAAGAAAGCATATTATGGATAGTTTAAAACCGTGTGCTAATGTGTTTATCAGATTTTTGTTTTTCTCATGTGTTTCTGTGTGCGCTCGATCATCTCTTTTCCACGCCAGGCTATCCAGAAGTGTGAGATATCCTTCTGGGTTGGCGACAACATTCCAATCCCAAGCACAAGCGCGCAATCTTTGGTAAAGGCGCTGCTCAGGCGAGATCCCTCGAGGCCACCATCTGCAATCCAATTTCATGTACGGATAATGAAAGAGCAGTGGTGTGTTAGGCGAGCTGCATTGGAGTGGTGTTTGATCCACTCCTTTGTAGCGGGCCCCGGAACCGTTGGACGCCTCCTTCTCCGCGATGGCCTGCGTGCGACTGAGGTCTTGGAATCGGAAGGTGCATTGATCAGTAACACGCAGGCATGCACATGCCGTCATGCGGAAAACAAGAAGCCTGCCTCCCTGCAGTTGCAGAAGCCATGCTTGAAGAGCGCTACATGCTACCGCCACTGACTGAAATGCATGCACGACACCCTGCCGAAATGGAAGTTATTCTGTTGGCGGGCCAAAGCATGGTTTTCAATGCTTGGTGTAGGTAAAGTTCAGATTGTATTGGCACGGTGCAGCATGTCTTGAACTATGCAGTTGGCGTGCAGTCGCGCCAAACAAAGTTGATGATTACGAAATTGGTAGATTGTGCACATGACAGTATTGAATTTTGATTGAATGCCAAGGAGAACTCCGCAATGATCTGCGCAGGTGGACGCAGCTTGGTGTTTTGATATTAACACGTTCAGTACTTGCCTGGAGAATTGGAAAGTTAGGGCCGCTAGGGCACAGCATTGAGGTCAATGAACCCATCCCCCAGACAGAGATGGTTGCTCACGTAAACCCTAAACTGCCTCAAACGCTGACACTCTGTATCGGGCGAGGTTTTATTCGCTGCAGAAGGTTCAGCTGCGATGAAATTCGCTCTTTAGACCTCCAGCTCCATCTACAAAACGTGACGGTACAAGGTCGTTCGCAGGTTTCTGACAAGTTGCACAAACGCGCATCACCAGGCTTCTTATCAGCTCCTCTAAGCCTTGGGCCCTTGAACCTCTTCTGCACCAGGGTTCACAGGCAACTGATGTCCTGCCACTTTTAGGGCCTTCTCAAAAAGTCTGCTGGTCTGTGTGAGGCAGCCTCCAGTATTTTGGGGAACCTGGGGTGCTGATTTTGAGAAACACCTGCCTGGTGACCCGTCTTCTGCTCCCTACTTTCGATTAACATCATAGGCCTCCTTGACATGCCCCATGTCCTTCCCAAAGCCCTGCGCTCCCTAATCTCACAACTCCAGTGGTAGACAATTATGTAGCCGGGGCGGGGCAGGCAGGACGACATGAATACTGAAAAGGTGGCGGAACGTCACCCAAGGTTGAAGTTCCGGTGCGCCGCAATAACTACTGGCCGCGAGGCCATTTTGAGCCAAGCTAGCAAGGAAGTGCTGCATCTACGCATGATGCAGAACTTCCTCGGGGAATGCTAGAGGGCAAAAGATTCAAAGCATCTTTTGGAGAAAGGTGTTGGCCAACTACGGTCTTGCAAGCCTGGCGCACTGCGCTCGCGAGCGCATGCGCATTGAGACGGCATGCGCAGAGCTTCTTTTGGTTGCTTGACTGCCATCGCCTGAGGTTGTTTCAAGTGCACAGCGTGTATTGCGATGATTTCCTGAGGTCATGGCATTTCATACCGGTGCCAAGCGCCCAGCTGCCAGCAACGTCGAGGACATGCTGCAGTCGACGTCCAGTCGGGTTGGCCCGGTGCCCAGGGGAGCTGCGTTCAGTATGGAATCACAGTGGACAGTGACGGTGTTGGCAGTGTCTCCGTTTTAGCCCCCTAGAACAGGAAGAAGTACCATCGGCAGACTCTGATGGTCAGGTGAAGAGCAATCACTACAGTCCTTCTCGTTGGACCGATGCACAGCTCCCCTGTCCACTCGATGCATTTGAGGCGCAAAAACGTCTGCCGACGGCCCGGCGCTCGGAGTCGGGCTTCCGTGCGGAACTAGAACCACTCTGTAAAGCAGACTCAGGCCTTCCATCCAGTGCTGGTGCTGCTGGTCGAGAGCCCGACTTGTCATCGCAACAAATGGGCTTGACAAGTGTGCTTGTGGTGTGCTTGGTGTGCTTGGTCATCGACTAAGGAGGACTAGCAAGAGTTTTGCAAGCATATTCAGCTTTTGCGCTGTGTGAACGGTCTGTGCTGTTGTACATGGGGGCTTGTCGAAAACATGTACTTTCTTGGGCTGCCCTGAATACTGTGGGCCGTAAAATGCAGAAGACGCAAATCGGGACCATAGCTTTGGTAACCTACCACATCACACCGCCGACAAGCGCAACTTGAAGTTAGGTCCTTTGGGTGAACCAGGGCGGAAAGAGCCCTTGGTGGAGGACAAGCTTTATGAGGAGAGCAGCATGGCGACGTGCCAGAGCTGCCTACTTGGGATGGTCCACGCAATTTGCTTTACTGCTTCTCACAGGATGAAGCAGCGGCAAGACAACGGCGCCTCGCAGCCCGACAGAAGGAAGCAAGCTGTGACACGCTATCCGATGCCCCCCCGTAACGTCCATGCAAGTTTGCAGACGCTGCATATGTGTAGAAAGATTAAGCAAAAACTGTTTATGCCGCAGGCCAACCGAACATGGAATTTCAGTGGGCGGTCAGGCAGGACAAAGCTGCCGCTTGTGATGTGTTGAAGGTACTAACTTGCATGCATCGAGGATACAGAGAAAAACCCGGAGTCAGAACGGCAGTTGATCCTGTTTTCCGCGCCTCAGCTACGACAAAGTGTTCAATCTGCACTCATCCTCACTCTGCATTATTTTGGCACAGATCACAAACCACGTACGACCAGCAAGAGCTTTGCTCCAAGAGTACTTCAAGTGTCAGCTTGTCATTTTCTGTCTTGAGGTGACCAAGAGGTGCAGCTGCAGCAAGCACGACGACAAGCGTTCAGCCGTTCCTCACATGCAGCGAAGCATGTGAATATATGTGAATTGAAGGTTGCACTTTGATTCGAGCCAAGGAGGTTTGCGGCAAAAGCCCGAAAATTGCGAGAGGTGACTGGGCAGCAAAGAAGCCATGATGCCCATCATGCGGGCATCTCTGCAGGCCGGCGGACATGTCAATATCAGCTCACTGATCACGGCCTCTTCTCGCGCTAGGCCATGATGGACACCATGAACTTCAACATCAGGTCTAGGACTGGACCAACGGAAGCCTGGGACACGCAGAGACCCGCGAGATTCTGAGAAGGTTCTAGGAAACGTCCTGCTACCTGCCACCCGGGCGCTCAAGGTCTTGCAGTGAAGTAAAGCACCTCAAGACTCGGAGCTGTCCGAAGTTTCACCGACAAAGCTCTCGACTCTGAACATTGGCAAACAGGGGCACTTGTTTGCCAGCGGTTTGCTTATTTCAGGCAGAGGCTACGGTCTGTGTGCAACCACTTGTCCTGAAAGTCTGGAAGGATGCGTGCGTCAAGTCAGAGATTTTGGTTGCGCGTGCGGGCATCGCGGCGCACTGAGAATTGTAGCCTCTGTTGATTTGTCATTACAGCCTGCCGCTTCACAAAGTTCGAGCCGGAATCCATTGAGAGGCGGCGTGTCAAGTCTTTGACGGTTTTACCACGTTTGATGGTCTTGCCATAGCCGCTGTGGTGGCCAGTCACGAACTCGCATCTTCCTGGCCCGCTGCAACTTTGAGGTCTGCAATGCTGTGTTTCTTCTCGTGTGTTGAGTGCATGTTGGACACCGTTGCAGGAAGAAGTACGAGCCCCCCAAGTCTCCGGTTATCCGACCTTCTCCACCAGGCATTCTGGGCGGGCAAATGCTGGCACTTGATGCTTTGCACTGAGCAGGATCCCCGCTATGGGATCATGAAAAAAAGGCCAGAGCCCTACCAAACTACAATGCTTACCGCGTTTTGCTGCGCTCGCAATGCTGGGACACCATCATGTTCACAGGAGAAGGAACGAGCACTCGAAAACCTCCATGAAATCGAAGCAATGGTCCGGGTCTCAATTCGTAGGCCGAGGCGGTGCAACTGGTTCCTGGGAAGCCGTCTGCGCTAGGACTTTGCCCTGCCGGAACACGAGGCGAGATGCCTTGGATGTGTTGCCCGTTTGCTACCTTGCCTGTGCATTTGGTGGGGTTCCCAAGCAAGACGCCATGCCTTCCGACTTCCAGATATCCCGACTTGCTCGGAAATCCTCGGGACCTTGCAAAGCCGTACACATCCGCACGACGCAGTTTGGCAGTATTGTAGAGCCGCACAAGACTGCAGCACGCAACCGTGGAATACTAAATGCCTGGCTTGTCAATTCTATTTAGAAGCTAGCGTGATATGAATATGTGGTCGGAACTGTTGCGAGCGACACTGGCCCCTTTCCGAACTATCCCAGACCGGACCAATCCCACAGCAAACTAGAGTTTCGATGGTCAATATTCGTCAATCAATAGCCAGCTCATGAACCTGGGACAGCGCTCAGGAACCTTCTCAATACCTCAAGCAACTACGGCAGAATCCGGCCTTTTATGCTCAGTACTGAGAGCATGGCTCAAGCGAAGATGGCTCTAGACATGGTGATAGGGGCTCAGATCAGACAAGATAGCGTAGGCCAATTCCATAAGCGTGCAGCACGCTGAGGCATGACTGGCATGGCAGGGCAGTTTTTTGAAAAATCGGAAGGACGATGAGTTGTCGCCCCTCGACGGTGAAGAGCACCACATCAAGGAAAAGCTGGCATGAATAAACTTCTGAACATGAAAGCATTGTGTGGCAGCGCTTTTCCCAAGCATTTGTATGCCTCATTGTCAGTTCAACATGGTCGGATTTGACGACTCAAAGTCCGATGACGATTCTTGGCTCCATCACCAGTTCAGCAAAGCGCGGAAGGCAATTGCTCCATGATCAGGACACGGCACCCGTATGCAAACAGGCAGCGTTTGCAGGCACACATGCTTTGTGGCGTGGATGCCGCAAGTTGCAGGCCAGCACTTCAAGCTGCCATTTAACAGTGCCTGAGGCTGGGTTGAGCTCTGCCATTTGCTTGGGATGTCTGGGATGTCAGCCGCACAGTGAGGCAACCGGCAGGTGCATGAAACTCCCGATAAGTTGCTGGCATGAGGAGTTGACAACTTACAGGCTTAAACAAGCTAGGCCCTGGAATCCACAAGCCAGCATCCGCTAGGATTCGTCCGGGCACGAGTGCTGCATTTGGGCCTCTAACTTCTGCTCAACTGACATGCTCTCCCGCCACATACCTATATGCTGCGCTTATCCCGCTCCTGGGATGGCAACGTCGAACTTCGATTTCAATCAACCATCCATCGATTTTATTATGCGTGCATACTTTGTACACAGAGCTGCTCTCACAGGCCCGACGACGGTTTGAAAGCGCACACCCCAGGAAGATCGCAATTGCAGTGCAAGCTTTGCAGATACAGTACCGTTTTTGACTTGGCCTTGAGCTGCAGAGGTGCACCAGCAACGATGGGGATCGGGGCGAGCCCTATGCTTCGAGCGGCGCTTGACATGGTGGCGGCTGACCACGCCAGGGCCCCAAGGGCTCGACATGCCGGAAGAATCAGCAAGTGGACTACCGCCTTTGCTGCTGAGGCACTGGAACAGGCTCCCCCTCATGCGCGTCAGCCTGTTGCAGAACGGAAGTCTGATTGCAGGGAGAAAACATGGACCCAACAAGGATCCCAAACACATTTTTGTGACATCCTTCTGGGCAATCAATGGGTTTGGCAGATAATCGTCTCGGACAACCTATCTCTGCCACCACCAGTCTCTGCAGCATTGTTCACTGGTTTTTGCGCGTCTTCTTCAGTTGGAGAAAACGGATTAAAGTGTGGCAAGGGCAGAGTCTTGCCGAGTGCTCAGCATGCATAACTTGCCACGTTCCTGGACAAGCCAGAAGTGTGACCTGTCAGCGGCACGTGAGCAGCAGCTTTCCATGATAAAGGACGGGAACTAGGTCAGAGAGAGTTGCCATCCTAAAGCAAGGCTTCTCAGAGCGCGTGGAAGGGCGCGTAAGCTCCACGGAAGCGCTCATTCGCGCAAGGGTTTGCGGAAGCCGGATGTGCGGAAGGCTTTGCAAAGAGAGATTGTTTGAGACCACGGAAAAGCCTGTGGCTGTGTTGTCGAAGTTGAGCACTCTGACTTTTGCTGCGTATCACTTGTGAACTGTAATGACTTGTAACATCATCCGAGCCCCATCAGTATCCTTGCAAAACTTATTGGCGAACAAGATCCTGCGCTTCGTATGTAAATCCCATGAGAACACGAACTCCTTCACCACCCCTTGCAATCCCATCAAAATGTCATGATAATCGCGGCAAAGGCCCAGTAAACTCCCAGGATAGAGGAGCGGAGAAACTCTACCAAAGCTCAAAATCTTGTCCAGAGGGATGGCATAGGCTTTCGTTGCCACCAAGCGCTCTGCGCAGAATCATTACCAAAAAACAGAGCAGCTAAAACTGACAATTGCTGGAATTTCCGGATGAGAGAAAAATCTCAGCAAGGAACAGCAGCAGGGGCAGCAGAAGCAGGAAATCTGCAACAGGTATCGTGGAGGAGATCAATTCTTACTTGCTTTCGTGTGGGCTTCAAATCTCACATTCACCACTTCAGACAAGCTCTCGAAAGACAAATCATTACATATAGACGCAACCCCTCTCAGTGATTTTTTTTTTTTTTTTTTAATCTTTTTGGACCGAAATCCAGCGAAAACGTACGCGCGCTGACAAGTGCATTTAAGATCATAATTGTACTTGCGGGAGCAAGTCCCCGTTTCCCACCGAAGATTGACTTTGCCTTGCGGAGGATGCCAGAGGATGGAATACTGCAAAACGTACTCGAGCAGAAGGCTTTTCCAGAAGGTCTTCGTTCGGGAAAGAAAGTGGGAAAACCCGCAACTCACGGTTTTTGCCTTCCTGAAAAAAGGCTCGAAGAGGATAGCAACAGACGCCCCCAAGTTTGGATGTGTGCCTTTGAGCACCAACGCTTGGAGGTTTTAATGTTTTCTCGGCGAGATAAAAGCCGCCAGCGTGTCCTGCCATTTGTTGCTACATGCCTTGCAAAATGAAAGATACACCCGCTCCTGTCAAAAGTCTCTGGCCATTGATCAAGATGATGTCAAGCATTAACTGTGAGCTATGTTGCCTTGATCTGGCTTGACTGTCAACACTTTCAAAAGGGCTCAGGCAGGCAAAACGCATCCAGAGCACTTCCAGCAAATCCTCGTAGCCAAAGATCATGTCTGTTGTTCCGCAGTGGTGATGTTGCTGAATGATCCTGAGTCTTCCCTGGAATCCAAACCCCAAAGCCGAAGCGCCAGATATTCCAGATGCTACGAGTGTTTCATTACTGTGCGCCAGTTCCAGCTCGACGACCCCCACTCCGATGAAGAGCCTTGCCTGACGTAGTAGAAAGCCGATGTTCTCGCGTTTGCCGTGCCTTGTCACAGCGAACAGAGTGTTCAACCGCGTCTCGACCACCTATAGCCTCAAACAAGTTGCGGGGCAATGCTGATAGCATAGCAGAACTTGTTGCAGAATTCAGGATCGCGACCTGGGCAAGCAGGCACTGCATGCTGGCTGTTATTACAAGCACGGTGATTGTGAGAGCCTCTTTGCTAGATCTTACAGGATGGAGAAGCTGCTGGAGGCAGATTGCCGCATTTTTGGAATGCTGCTTTTGATGTCGCTTTCTTTTGTTGTCTGCTTTTTGTTCGAGATTGTTCGAGGCAGATCCAAGCTGCTTGGACCTGGAGCCAGCCCAGTTCTCCTCTCGGCGCTGGATGGCGTGGCGGCATCTGCTGACACCTCAGCCTTGAGTGCCCAACGGCTGTAGACTTTCTCTCCGTCCACAGGTTGAGCCAAAGATGCGACCCAGACGGGACACGACCTGAGTTGCTTGGGCCTCAAATGCAGCTTGGGTATACGCAGCGGAACCCAGCCTCGTCCATACTGCGAGGTCTTCCAAATCTTCACGTTGACCAGGGTTGGGTTTTAAATAGATCCGGAAGGGTAAAGTCTGACACCTAAGACCGTACAATTGTTTTACCATGAGCAACGCAGGCCCTGTGAAGCCAGCCTCACCATATGCTTTGACCTTGCCGTCCTGGCTCCATGCCACAACCCAACATACTGAGAACTTCAACCACATCTTGACGCAGATCATTCAGGCCACTATTTAAAGCGAACAACATCAGCTGCAATGGCAATTGCACTGGCAACCGCGGGACAAGGATGGGGTAGGTGTGGAACCTCCACATAAAATCAAATTTGTGGAGAGGCTCAGGACTTACCACGCTAAGCAAGAGAAAGGAAATGGCGGCGTGGGTGCCACCTGCACCATCCATGTGACGAGGGTTTGCCTTGGTCTTGTTGAGATGCCATTTACGCAGGTTGCCCAGTGACCGGCGTGGCAAGTGACATAGATATTTGTGCAGATGCCTACTTTAGTCTCTGATGTCTATGTCGCTTCTCTAGCCATGTGCGCTCGACGCTGAATAATTGCTGCTGCCTTCACGGACTTGAAACACTCGAAATGTGAACTAACATGTGTAGATTGGCAGATGTCGAGCGAGCTTGCCCTCCAAAATGTAGACCCTGCACTTCCCTGAGTGTGGTGGGATATGCGATCGAATGATCGATCATTCCCATGACCTACACCACCAGGATCTACAAGCTGTCTGGAACTCTCCAGGGGTGGAAATGGTTGCGTTTCCGTTAGCAGTATATCCGAGAGCATGCTTGATGTCTTGTCATTGGTGGGTTCTTGCAGAAGTTGGATCTTGGCAAGCTTTGCTGCGCAGGTCTGCTTCTGGAAAAAGACCAGCTCTGCTAGCAGCCATACTCTCCATACTCTCGACATGAACTGCGCACCAGACATTCGCAATTCTGATACTTTTGCAGCGTTTGGCTGTTGGGACGGAGAGTTCATGAGACTTGGGGCAGCTGTGGGCGCGTGCACCCATTGTATTTTTGTGAATCATCATGAGCATCTGCCATGGCTTTATCACGGCGATGGTTGCGTCGGCTGGCTGCCAGGTGTGCTGGAGCCGCACCACCTCGAGGCAATGGGAGTGGACACAAGGGGGTTTGGGTGTGAAGTGCTGAGGAATGTAGGAAAGCCGGCGCAACTCCTGTTGCTGGGCACGGGCACGGGGTCTATAGGGTCTATGGTGTTCAGGGTGTAAATCGGATTTATGGTTTTGGGTACTGACTGTACTGCCCGGCGGGCACTGGGCCATGAAAGGCCGGGCGAAAGCCCTGCTCTGGATCGGCAGAAAATTTGTTGTGCGCAAGCTCCCTGCAAGGCTACCTCATGGTACTCGCCCACTTGTTTTGACTGAAGCCAGGAGCTCCAAAGTCTAAACCAACCAAAGCCCTGAACCGAGCCACCCGCATAGTAACGTAGTATTAATAATCGTCTACTAATAAGAAAAATGAAAGTACTGATTAGAACGTAAGAATGAAAATAACCATACTAATGATTCGGTACCTGATTTCTGGCTCACTGACAGGCCGGCTCACCAACAGCAGAGGTGCAGCAGGAAGGCAGAGCGCGGGTGGGTGTAGAGTTTAGGATTGAGGGCTTGGGGGTGGGTAAGGGATGTAGGTGAACGCTCAACCCCCTAGCCGCATGAATACAAATGGAACTGTATGGGGCAAAACCAAAAGCAGCACCCGCCCAAAACTCTCGACTTGAGTTTTAAACAATTTACATAAACCCAAGCCGCGCAACCCTGCCCTGAACACCTTGAACCATAAAAAACTTTGCTGGTTTTAGGGTTTAGCGCATATGGCTTGTTCTGGGGTTCAGGGCTTGGGGTTTAGTATGCAGGGGGGTCTCGATTGTTTGACAGCTTCCCCCAACCCTAAACCCTCTACACCCGCTACCCCCCTCAAGACCCTAAGCAGCTGCAAGGCCGTGAGCCACAACCCCTAAAGAATTCAGTGAAAACTATACCCCTTAAGACTTGAACCCAAAAGCCCGACGCGTTGGATGGTGAGATGGTGAACCCTGAACCGTTGAGCGTCCAAAGACAGATCCGCCGGCACTGCATCCAAGATCCCGGTCTCTACTCCCTCCCAGATGCACGCAAATGCCGCCTACATAGTGGAGAAGCCGTGACGCCCACAAAATGTGCTTGCTCTTTTTTTTGCGCCCCTTTTTCTACAGAGACTTGTTTTCCGTACAAACTAAGTTGGCCATGCGGTGGGCATGTCATGCTTGAAATGGGAGTCAGGGTGTGGGAACTTGGGGAACCTAGGGAGAGACATCATAACTCGCAAGTCCCGTGACAACCCCATTCCACACACCTCAGCTGGAAGTGCCATGCTATTGTCTGAATTTGCAAGGTGTATGAAACATGCGACGATTAGCAGGTGCATGCAGGGAGCTTGAATCTCTCGTGTCGCCGCTCCTTTTTGGAGCTCATGTTGGAAAGGTAGGGGGAGCTAGCTGTGAAACCGAAGGTTTGTGCAGGGTCTTTCAGTGCAGAACTGTGCATGACCAGGACCTTCCAGCATCCAGCATGCAGGCCTGACAGAGATTCCGCCATCATCTGATGGCTCAAGCCTTGCTTTGAGCAAAAAGGTGTCTTTGCGCCAGTGCGTTGGCTGTGTTGCCTTCGCACTGGTAGCGGAGCTTAGCTCCTTCACCTTTGGGTGCCCCTTTGCGCTGCTTGCGCTTCACTTCGCTTGCTTTGCTTGCTGACGGCATGGCGGCGATTCTTGAGCTCTTGCGCTATCAAAACTTCATAGCGGAGGACGACACCAGCACCACGACCGAGGGCAAGTTCGGAATTCCTCGGTTCAATGGCGAGCCTACCCGGCTTGCTGAGTATGCTTTCCGTGTTCGCGCCCGGACCTACAAGGAGAAGGCCCTGGGCAAGGAAGAGCGTGACAAGCTTGGACCTTTCGGCCTGCGGCTTGTGGAAGGACTTTCGGGGACAGCTCTTCGTCTTGCACAAACCCTGAAGCTGGAGGACCTGGCCAAGGACGATGGAGCAGAGAAGCTTTTGGTTGCCGTAGGTGAAGCCAAAGCGGCTTCAACAGGCCAGGGAGCTTTATGCTGCAGGCGCCTCCGTCCATGGCATCTTGTCACGCCAGAGCGGGGAGCCGATGAGTTCATACGTACTCCGTCGCAGGACGTGGTACCGCTGTCTTCTTGCTTGCAGTGCTGAAATGGCTTTGCCGGAAATGGCTTTGGCGGAGCAGTTGCTGGCATCGGCGACGATATCGCACGATCACCAGGTTTAGGGTTTATTAGGGTTTAGGGTTTAGGGTGAGAAGCATCCAAGTGTGGATGGTCACGACGCGGGAAGCGAGTAGTTCTATCCAAGTTTTGCTTGGTCTCGCTTCAGGAGGCTTGCATGACTGGTTCGTGTTGGTGCGCTTGTCAGGAGCAGGTCAGACTGAAGATCTTGCAGGCACCTCAAATCAAGAAAAGAAAAATTGGGGAGCAAGCCACTGAGAATGAAAGTTTTCCGCCCGAGCCTCCGAACATAGATGGCGCTCGTCAGGTTGCCAAGGCTAAGCATCATGGTGACAGGGTCAGGGAGGCTTTGCTCAGTGGGTCTGGGTGTTCCCCCGTCGCCTGGTTTGGGAGGGCCAAGCGGCCACGTCCGCGGCAAAGCGGTGATGTTCAAGCTGGATTGGCGGCTTTGGCTGCTGATGCCGGTCAAGGGCGGCAATCTAAAACGGCAGGGCTGTTGCAGGAAACCCCAGTGATGATGAGCCGAAGGAGGCAAGCCGGGGACGGACGAGGAGCTGTAATCGTTGTCGAAGGCGTGATTCAAGCCGAAGCCGTGCGCGTGGTTCGTCTTCCAGCTCTGTGATCCTATAGAGGAAGAGATGCTGGGGTAGAATCCCTCCCGACCGAGGCCCTGAAGAAACTGGGTAAGCTGCTCAGGAACGGGCTTACGGAGATGAGGCAGTGTCTCTTGAGCAATAATGATGCCAGTGCTGACGTCCACGAGGTTTTGACAGGACTGGCGGGGAACCAAGGTCGGAGCATGTGTCAACCAAGTGTTTTTCGTCAACCGCTCTCCAGACACGATCGAGATCAGAAATTCTCGAGACATTGTCACTTTGTCAACAGCTCTTGATTGTTTGTTGACTGGGCAATTAGCCGGATTGGGGCACGTGTTGATGCAGCGTTTGAATGCAGTTGAGAGAACTGGAACCTGGCAGCAAATTCGTGCGTCGGTCCCAGAAAGTGTCCATCGTGGCACGCGAGCCGAAGGAGTCTAACTCTGTGTGGTTGTCTGAGCCGTGCCACTGCCGTGGAGCAGTACCATCACATTCTTTGTCTCGTGTGCAACCGGGCAGTGAAATTCGACAGTTGTAAGCGTCGGAACATGAAGTATTGCTGGGGCTTGGAAGAGTCCATACAAGATCCGTTTTTAAGCAGCTGTAAAGGGCCAGGAAGGAGAAAGCACCAGGTTGAGATTGTTGGCAAAAGCTCACATTGCCTCAGTGTAGCATTGGTGTTGCAGATGGCAAAATAGAGTTTAGAACTAAGCTCTGGCCAAACTTCTTTAAAGTACCTACTTGAAAATCGCGTGTGTGATTTAGCAGCTTCGTCGCTTGAGCTACCACTTGGGGTTGTATAATAACCCC